AAGAGGAGGCTGAGGGGAGACCTCCTGGCCCTCTGCAACTCCCTGCCAGGAGGGGGCAGAGAGGGGGGATGAGTCTCTGGAGCCAAGGCCCCAGCGCCAGGCCCCGAGGGAATGGCCTCAAGCTGCCCAGGGCAGGGTCAGGCTGGCTCTGAGGGAGGATTTCTGTGCAGAAGGGGCTGTTGGGCGTTGGAATGGGCTGCCCAGGGCAGGGGGGAGTCCCCGGGATCCCTGGAGGGGTTGAAGAGTCGGGCTGAGCCAGCGCTGAGGGATCTGGGGGAGTTGGGAACAGTCAGGGGGAGGGTCATGGTTGGGCTGGAGGAGCTTCAAGGGCTTTTCCAACCAAGATGATTCTGTGATTCTTCCTGGGACAACACTGCAGGGAAGCCTCTATGTCCCCTGCTCAAACTGGCCTAAGCCATAGGGCATCTTCCCTTGGGTTAACCATTCTGGTCCTCTGAAAACCAGGGCCAGCAATGAGTGGAAAGACAAGGAGGCCTGACCCAAAGTTGGAGCAGGCACCTGCTCCCACTGCTCCTCCAGATGGTATTTTTTAAAGCCTAGGTTCTTAATCTGAATCCAAGTGTAGGGGCAGGTTGGGGAAAGGCAGGGAAATGTCCCTTCCAAGTTCTTTTCCTCCCAAACCTCTCCCTGCTCTGGAGTAATTAGTGTTGGCCCACAGGCAAATCTGGATTTGTGCCTGCCTCCATGAAATATGTGTCAAGGCAAAGTAGGTCAGTCACAAAGCCAAGCTGAGCCTAACTCTGGGCTCTGCATGGGAATGGGAACTTGGGCTCTGTGGTGAAAGGCGCCTGTGGCACCGTGCCAGTGGCAGGTCCTGTCCCTCGTGCCTCTCCTCCTTGCTCACACGGTGTCATACTGTGCCGAGATGGCCACCATGCCCACAACCAGGAGGGGCAGCCCACGGAGAGATCAGCTGCAGCCAGGGCTGCTGGAACAACTAGTTTGGATCTGAAAGGGCTCCTGGGTGGCACAGATAAGTCTCACTAGTCAATATATCTGCCCATCTCCTCAGCTGAGACACTCTGGGGACATGGCAGTGGCAAGTGGACATGCAGGCCAGGCTAGGATCTCTGGCTGGGCTCCTATGGGAGGGGTGAAGGTATCACTGCAAGTCAGCACCCACCACTGTCCTGCCCTAAGGAAGCCCCATGGCCCTGCAGCAGGACCCACCATGGGTCCAAATTCAGCACAAAGTGAGTGCCAGGGCATGGGTAGGACACGGACCTGCTCGAGTGGGGCCAGAGGAGGCCACGGAGATGCTGGGGGGGGGCTGGAGCCCCCCCTGTGAGGACAGGCTGAGAGTTGGGGGGTTCAGCTGGAGGAGAGAATGCTCCAGGGAGACCTTAGAGCGGCCCCCCAGGGCTGAAAGGGGCTGCGGGAAAGGGGGGAGGGACTCGTCATCGGAGGGGGGGGGTACAGGATGAGGGGTGACAGGTTTAAACTGACAGAGGGGAGATTTAGATGAGATGTAAGGAAGAAATTCCCCCCTGTGAGGGGGTGAGGCCCTGGCACAGGCTGCCCAGAGAAGCTGTGGCTGCCCCCTCCCTGGAAGGGTTCAAGGCCAGGTTGGACGGGGCTTTGGGCAACCTGGGCTGGTGGAAGGTGGCCCTGCCTGGGGCAGGTGGTGGGACTGGATGGGCTTTAAGGTCCCTTCCAACCCAAACCACGCCATGAGTCTGTGGTTCTCTGCTGCTGTGGACGGGGCAGGCAGAGGAGGGGAGGAGGCCCCTGCACACTGTCCTCCCCGACACTCTGGAAGGATTCCTGTCCCTCGGCAACGCTTCCAGTGCTCCAGCACCTCAGAGCAAGAGCTGGGGGCTTTGTTATCCCTCTCCCTGAGCCAGCCCTAGCCTCGGGCAGTGGAGGGGACATCCTGTCGGGATGCAGCTGCTTCAGGCACAATGCTGGTCCCCTGTCATGTCTCGTGGTATTCCCTTAAGTCTTTAAGTGAGCCCAGCCCATGCCCAACTGGAGCTGCAGGTGCTGTCTTTGTACGGGGGATTCCTTAGGAAAGGGCAAAGGGGAAGCTGCCCCACGCGCCTGGGCAGCTCCTTCTCCTGGGTGACATCACGTGGGGACATCAGCAGTACTGGGGAAGGGGGTGCACGGGCCAGGCTGCAGGGTTGGTGGCAAACACTGGCCTCAGTGGCCTGGTGTGACCAGGGGACCCTGTGTGTGCACAGTGAGGACAGAGGGGCGGTACCCAAGAGGACTGAGAGTCTCCCACACCCTCTGTCCCGTCTGCAGCTTGTGGAAGAAGGCCAGACCCTCTCTGTCCTTGTCCCCAAGGCAGAGGGGAAGGATGTGTGTCCATCCGGGCTGTGTGCCAAGGCTGCGTGTCCCAGCCTGACCATGCTGAAACCCTGGGAAGCAAATCTCAGCGTGCAGGACTCCCGCTGGCACTCGGGTGACTCAGGGCTGCACAACTCTCCCCATAGAAGCCTAAAACTAAGGCAGCACCGCTGCATTTAATACTGACCCCCTGCACACACACAAGAATGAAAAGGGAAAATAAATAATTTGAGGCTAAAAACCTGACCAACACCACACAGACTGCGGAGCAAAGGGGAGCAACTTCTGGATTTTAAACACCCGCTGCTGTGATGCTAATTGGATGCAGGCTCATGTGCCATGTCTGCCCGAGCCCTTTCTGCCCATGCAGCTCCCTTCCTATGGCACGTGGGCAGCTGCAAGAGCTTGGCCCTTCACGGAGGAAGGCTCAAGGGCTGATTTTAACAGAGTCCAGCCTGAAACCCAGGTCTGCTTCTTCCTTTAAGCCTGCCTAATGAGAAAGCCTGGCTGATAACAAGGGTGAATGGGGGTGGGATGTACATGTGCATGTGTTGGGGGGCAGGCGATACGGTAATAGCAAGCAGTGGGATGCAGATCACTTCCTCTGGCCAAAAAGTGAAAGGCCTCCCTGGGTTGTGCTGAGCAAGGAAATTGTTTTGTGCTGCCTGGCTTTGTGAGAGTTTAATTAACCCTGAAGAGAGCCCACCAGGCAGCGGGGGTCCTCTCTGCGCCTCGAAGCCAGGCCGGCAGCGTGTCATGCCTTGTTGGGGTTGTGCTTTATTGTTGGACACCGAGCACTGATGCTGGGCTTGGTCCCACAAAGCTGCTATTGTCCATCTGCCGAGGGAAACGCTCACAGGCACTCGTGTTGCAGTGCCCGTCATCCACAGGCAGATCAGACGGGTGGGCTCCTCCCTCATTTTAGGCCAGTCCTAGAGTCCCTCCGGGAGCCTCCTGGGGGACCCAAAGCAAGGCTGGGAGGGATATAAGTGGAGCCAGAGAAGAGACACAGTTTCTAGCCAGAACACTGAAATGCCCTTGGAAGAGGGACTCTGGAAGCACAAAGTGATGTTGGTGTGAAATGCCTCTGCTGGCCTGTGTCACAGAATTCCAGAATCATCTGGGTTGGAAAAGCCCTTGAAGCTCCTCCAGTCCAACCATGAACCTCACCCTGACCGTTCCCAACTCCCCCAGATCCCTCAGCGCTGGCTCAGCCCGACTCTTCAACCCCTCCAGGGATCCCGGGGACTCCCCCCTGCCCTGGGCAGCCCATTCCAACGCCCAACAGCCCCTTCTGCACAGAAATCCTTCCTCAGAGCCAGCCTGACCCTGCCCTGGGCAGCTTGAGGCCATTCCCTCGGGGCCTGGCGCTGG